GATGCCGCTTTCCCTTATACACCAGGCACTAAGCATTCAATTTTTTATTAAGCGTATCCTGTCAAACCAAACAGAATTTGAGGTAATTTGTTAACAAATTACGTTACAAACTGACCAACAAAACACATACATGGTGTCAAAGACACGAAGCCTCTCAATAACCGGTTTCTCATCAAGGTATTTATATCGATTGTCATGTCACTAATCAGTAGCTTATATTGAAGGAATTTCCGGTCGATCTTGTACTGGTTGTATGTGCATAACGATTAACAAAGCTTATATGTCCTGCATTTGTTCTAGGTTGCCGAGGCTTCAGATCAGACTGCAGCTGATCAACGAGATGACCAAGGAGAAGACATCCATTGCAACGGTAAGTTATCAACATTGGTTAGAGCCTACGCCAAACTAGTAGGTGTTTAACCAGTTCACCTCTTAATGCAGGTAGTAGCTGTTGGTCCGGGCTCACTCGATGATGAAGGCAAGGTGCAACCACTGTCGGTGTCACCAGGCAGCACTGTGTTGTACTCCAAGTACGTAGGCGGCGAGTTCAAGGGCTCTGCTGGCACAAACTACAGTGTGTTGAGAGTGCAGATGTGATGGTTGAGCTCTCTTAAATGTGTGGTTTGTTACTTTGTTTCAGTTTTGTGTTCATAATGGAGGCGAGCATGAGGGTTGAGATTGCGCTGTGGTAATCGCTTGATGCTATTCGCATGGTTATAGAATTGTATGAGCAAACCACTTGTCTGGGTTAAAAACATTTACCGAATACGTTTACAAAGGAAGTTTGATGCCTGTTTCCCCCTACTTCCACATTATGTATGTACATTAGTGCTTAGCTGATTGCGGATTGTTGTGTCATTACTTCTGTGAAAGATTCCTAGGCATCTCTCTTCCCGTGAGCGAGCTATAAAGTAAGAAACCCTGGAGGATCTGGTCTTTAGGCAAGTCTGATTGCTCATTCTTCAATGTTGCTACTTCAAATCATCTAGGGACCAAATATATGCCGCTGGTTGCTTAGGATGGCAGGAGAATTTGCTGTATAGGACAGCGTCGTGATGCTGAACTGATGTTTAGCGGTGAGATGAGGCAAACTGGGACCTTTGCTCAGCAGCAGAGTAATAAGACGCCGACCTTTTGAAGCAGAAGAGTAGATGGATGATGGAGGTCAGCGGAGTAAGATGTGGAGGCCAAGCACCATTGCGACCAGCGAATGCATGTTGTAATTCTAGCTACTCATGGGTAATTCCTGGTGCCTTCTATGCTTATGCTATCAAATTCAAATCTCTGGTGAACAGAGAAGCAACAAATAATACACTAAATGTGATTCTAATACATGAAATGAGTTATCCCTAAGGGAAGCTTTGCTCCTTATAAAAGAGTTGTGTGGCAGACTTGCTCCTTGTAAAGAGTTGTGCCGTATACGATGGTGTGAAGTCATCCGTCCTCCGGTAGATCAATTGCTAAAAATCCTTTGGTTATGAATTAGGTCCTCTGGTTGGTCAGCCGTTGCGAACTTTACATATATCTTTTAAACAAAATAATTCTGTTAAGCTTCCAACCTCTACTTCAAGATGACACACCTAGACAACAATTTATTTATTAGAAAGTTCACACAAAATTAAGCAAAACATCAAAAGAGAAAACACCAGCTTAATTAAAACCAACATCTTATAGAAACTAATCAAGTGACACTAATTTGGGAGTCACATGAAGGATCCATTTACAATTATAAAATTAATGCACCAGCTACTTTGCACTAAAGCTTATGTCAGAGGTGAATCTTATGCTAATACTTCAAAATACCCCGTGTAATTTTTATGTAGGAGAGGGAAGACGGCTCTTCCCCTCGCGTCGCTCCCGCGAGCGACCGAGGGGACTCACCCGCCGCCGGCCTCTAGGCCTCCTCCCCCTTCCTTCCCCTCGCCGCCGCCGGTCTGCGCCGCCGAGCAAAGCCCGGTAGGTGCTGGCGGCGGCGGGGCCTCGTCTCTCCCTGGCGCGGCGGAGATCGGCGCGGACCGGCGTCCCTGCGTGGAGGTGCGCTGCTGGACCGGGGCGGCGCGGCATCTGGGCGGCTCGGCGGCGCCCTGGGCTTCCTTGGCGGCGGGGTGGGTTCTGCTCCTGGTGTGGGAGGGCCGGCGGTGTTCTGTGGCGGCGGGGTGTGCTCGGGATGGTGGTGAGGGGCGGCCAGATCCGATCTGGAATGGCTTCTCCTCCGCTTGCTGTCGCGGGCGGCACGGGCTGTGGCGGCACGGGCCGGCCGCCTCCGGTGGCTGCGTGTGCTGGTGGTGGTCCGGTGTGGTGGTTGGGTTGGTTCGGCGGATTCGTCCTGGCCCCCGGCGGGGTCAGCTGGTGGTTGCGGCGGCCAGCCGTGCTGGTGGTTGTGCGTGCCTGGCGTCTCTCATGCTCCGAGCTCGCCGGGCGGCGTGGGTTGGGAAGGGGCCTGGCGTGGCTCCTGTCCCGGCCGTGGGTGGCTCCACGGCGGCTTGGCAGGTCAACTGCGGTGGCGGCTGGCATGTTCCGGCGTCGGTTCGTCCGTGGCAGTCTTGTGTCGGCCTTCGCTTCCTCTCTTCATCGTCCGGCCGTTACTTCGTCGAAGGGCTATCCATCTCCCAGCTGCGGTCCATCGCTCGTCTCGCGACCGGTGCGGCAGGACCGACTTCGTCTCGCGCACGGTGTAGCAGGACCGGACTCGTCTCGCGCACGGTGCAGCAGGACTGAGCTCGTCTCGCACATGGTGCCGCAAGACAGAGCTCGTCTCGCGCCCGGTGCTGCAGGACGGGTCGATGGAGGCCAGTTTGGCCGGCCTTTTGGGTCTCGGCGCTGGGGCTGCCCAGGGGTATGAAAGGCGGGTCCTTTCCGCTCGTCTCTTTGGTTGGGGTAGCGGCGGATCCCGGGTGAGGTGGTGTCAAGGTCTTGGATGCCGGGACGGCGGTCCTGGTGGTGGTAGCGCGGTGCTCATGGGCAGAGCCCGTGGCTTGGTGCTGCCCGGTGGCCATGGCCGTGTGGGCGGCGTGGTAGCTGGGGTGTGGCGTTCGGTGGCAGTGAGTGTTGGCCAGGGTGAAAACTTGTTCTATCTTCGGACGGACCGACGACGGCGAAGCTCGTTCCCTTCTTAAAGGCGTCGTCGCGGCTCTCACTGCCCGTCGTGATGCTCCAGGGGAAACTTTGATCCTCGGATCGGGCGGTGGCAGCGCTCTTGTGTCGTTTCCTTCCTGAAGGCACCGCCTTGGAGCCCACGGTTCGTCATATGCGGCTTCATTTCTTCGCGGTGGCGTGTTCCCGATTGAGCCCCCGGTTGCTCTTGTAGTGCTAGGGGTGTGTTGCTGCGATCAGCGCCTATGTATCCTGCTTTGGGTGTGTGCGTGTGTTGTGGTGTGGCGTGTGTTTGTACTGGGATGTTCTTGATCATTGCTTTATATATAAAGCGGGGCGAAAGCCTTTTTCGGTAATTTTTATGTAGAACCGATCTCAAGTTGTATATTCAAAGTATGCTCGGATACGTGTTGAATACATCAACTCTAAGAATCTCATTATGAAAGAGGATGACATCATATTCTTGAATCTGATGATGTCAAAGACATGAAGCCTCTCAATGACCAGGTGCCGATCAAGGTATTTATATCTAATGTTGTGTAACTAAACTATACTAGTGTATATTTAGAGAATTTTCAGTCAAGCTTGTACTGGTCATGCATACCAGTTAACAATGCTAATCTATCTTGCATTTGTGCCAAGTTGCAGAGGCTTCAGACAATACTGAAGTTGGTCTTATCCTCACTGAGACAACCAAGGAGAAGCCATTCATTGGAGAAGTAAGTTAATTATCATTAGGTAGGAATCCGTGCTGAACTAGAAGGTGTTTAACAGATTCACCTCTAAATGCAGGTTGTAGTTGTTGGTCCGGGTTCACTCGACAAGGAAGGCAACAAGCAGCTACTGTCGGTATCACCAGGCAGCCACTGTCGGTGTCACCAGGCAGGACTATGTTGTACTCCAAGTACGCAGGTGGCGAGTTCAAGGACGCTGACGACACAAACTACATTGTTTTTAGAGTGTCAGATGAGATGGCTGAGCTCTCTTAAATGTGCGGTTTGTTACTTTGTTTCAATTTTGAGTTCATGATAGAGGCGCATGAGTGGTAAGATTGCTATGTGATAACCACCTGATGCTATTTCGGATGATTATAGAATTGTATGAGCAAACCTGTTGTCCGGGTTACAAACATTTACC